AAAATGAGACAGTCAATTTCATTATTTGAAAATAATTCAAATATCAAATTATCAATTAGCTTAATGGCAAAATTAAATTTATCCTTTAAAAAATTTAAAAAATCTGTAACAGCAATTTTATGCTTTTTGTTCGTGTCTGCTATATTTCTTTTCGAATTTGCCTATTCTTCTGCTGAGAAAAAGAGATGCGTGCATGATAATCTTACGAGCCCGCTGTCTTATTCTTATCTTCCTTGTTCTCCACCTCCAACTTGCTGTTGTTGTTATCCTGGGCCAAAACCAGAACCTGATAATGAAGACATAATAATTGTCCAGGAACCGTCCTCTCCACCATCACCACCGAGAGGTAAGACAAACGTTCAACAACCAATATCAGCTGAAGCGAAGAGCAGTGCAAAAGTTAATGTTGGAAAAGTGGCAGCAGCCAAACGAATGCCAGTTAAAAGACAATTGTGTGGTTGTCCTCCTAGACCAGAAGAAAAAATAATTGTTGTCAATCAGCCTCCACCACAAAGACCCAAAGGCAAAGCAAAAAGGGGCAGAGGAAAGGGAAACGTTCAACAACCTATTTCCGCTGAGGCCAAGAGTAATGCGAAAGTTGTTATTGGCAAAACAGGCAAACGGCGTGTAACTGAACAAAAACGACAATACTGTGGCTATCCAACACCTGAACCTGAAGATAATGTAATTATCGTCAATCAACCACCACCAAGTGCTCCTCCGCCACAACGACGTCCAAAAGCAAAGGCAAAAACTCAGCAGCCTGTTTCGGCTGAAGCTAAGAGTAGTGCCAAAGTACGTATTAAGTTTTACTAATTTTATCGATTTTTACAATCTGTTCACAATTTCTTATTTCTTATAGGTAAATATCGGAAAGGCTAAAGGTAAAAAACGGTCGCCTCAGAAATCTGACGCTAAAAGCGAATTTTAGATAGTTGTTGTAATATGTAATTAACATTTATGTAAAATATCTTGTTCTAGCTATAAAATAAATTTCATGAGTCAGAAATATGCATACTATTATAGAAGTTGGTATCGATGCATACAATTTTTCCAATACCCCGACAAGCAATCTTAATTGGATATTTACTCTGACATTTATTCACTTAGAAACATTGCTAAATTGAACTTGAAGAGTGATTTCAAGAATAAACAATACACCATGTATATTTTTTGACATAAATATTATCACGAATTTCATTAATTTTAACACCTTAATTAATCCATAAGAAAATTACGCGTCAAAATCTTCATAAATCGTATACAAGAGTTATCTTTCTAACGAGGTCATAAAAATATGCACCAAAGTTTTGAGCATAAGGAGGAAGTGGATTTGTAAAACCATACTAATACCGATACTATTACTATTACTCTCCAAATTTTAACATAAACTTTGAATAAATAACTCTCGATATATCTTAATAAAGATCTCCGTCAATATATTTTCTAGTTCTTTATGGCCAGATCGAGTAGTTTCGTTTGACTACAACCATGAAAAATACTTTTCATAATTAAACTGCGAGGGACCGGTCTAACCGTGACAGATCACGCATAAATCGTAGCGGTGGACAGTATTTTTTCTGAGCGTTCAGCGTACGTAGGTGAGAAGTGTAAATTGTGTAGAATTGTTATCGAATTACTAGTAACATGTACGTTGTAAACATTAGTCGCGTTCCACAGATGATTTTTGTTTAACGTCGTTGCCATCGTTCATTCCAAGAATGCTGGATTTAACAAATACAGTATAACAGATATAATTTAATAAAATATTCATAAAAGAAATGATTTTAACTATATCCTTAATTGTTGACCATCGAGTTTTAATATACGACTTTGGCATACTTTGCGAGTTCTAGGGATTATGTTTATTGCGCTAGAATTTAAAATAAACGAATACCCGAAGGTTTAATTGAATTATTCTCAGAGCATATGCATATTATGAATATTTCAAAGAAATTAGAAAATGCTTTTTATGATAATAAAAAGATATTGTAGCTCATCATTTTTTTGTGTTTTTGAATAAATAACAAGAAAAGCATGCATAGTTAGCGTATTTCTTTATGATTTATTCTAGAAAATTATTGACATAGGTTTTTTCTCCTATGTGCTCCATATTGTAATTGAAGATTATACCTTCTTTTTAAAAGATTCTGCTCGAGAATAGGAAATTACATTGTTTGATGATGGCATTTGGCAAAAGCTCTTTTCGAAGTAAATAATTTAGCGATAAAATTTGAAAGAAATCGAGAGCACAATTCATTTACTGTACATTTTCACTTAAGGATTGATCGATCCCGAATTAGCTAATTTAAAAAATATGTTGTTCTCAGCAACCTTATTCGAAACACAAAAAACCATATTTTATTCATCAGGAAATATCTTTTAAAGATACACACAAAGAGGAAATTTGTCAGTAATCATATTCGTATAGACACAAAGAAAGACCAATAAAGTATTCTTATGATTAAATACAAAAGATGATTAAAGTTTTTGGATGATTGATCTAAACTTAAGTAAGCGCATTGCAAAAAAAAAGAAATATAAAAATTATCTTTTATGACAGCCAATATGATATTGCAATAACGATAACGATAATATCAAACCATTTATAACAATAAAATTTCTGCTTGAAATCCATACGACTGGAAATGTTTAAAAAAAATAATTTATCCCTTGTCCACATTGTTCTTACTTTTATCCTTATCGGGATTATCCTAACAGATGCTGCTACTCCCCAAGATAATTCAGGCTCAAAGAACACTGCAGCGGTTCGTCGCCATGTTGGTCACAAGAAACATGATCGCAAGAAACATGATCGCAAGAAACATGATCACAAGAAACAAGATTGGGATTACGATGATCGTGATTATGATTATGATTATGGTTATGATTATGATTATTACCCTCGTAGACACCGTCATCATAGACATCATAATCACCGTCACGAATATTAATGTTAAGTAAACAGGAACAATAAATATATACAGCTATATACAAAAATGTACAGTTATGTTTTAAATAATGGAAAAAGATTTTGCAAATAAATAATAATTTATAGATTCACTTTTATAAACCTGATATCATATCAATATAGTTAGTTCTTCACATTATTACTATTGATAGAATGATAGAAATCTAAGGTTTTTGTCAAGTAAAGACATAACAATAAACTTTCTTTTGATCGCAGTACTTTCACATAATGATTTCTTTTAATAGTTCATATTCTTTATAATCATCGGAAATCCCAAAAACGAAACTATCAATACATGTATCTCAAAATCCGGTGCCCTATTAGATAACGGGAACACTGGATTTTAGGTTTCAAAATGACAGATTCGTTTTTGGGATTTCCGATAAGTGGTGTGTATGAAAATGTTGTAAATTTTCTAAAATTACAAGATTACTTTCGATTATGACAAGGCATTTTGTTAGCACTATCGTGGATGTTATAAACGAGATTATAATATTTTAATATGTTATTTTCATTCAGTTACTTAAAGATTTTTTTTCAGCTCTAATTAGACTAAGAATAAACAATTTCGACGACCGATGAACATAGCGTTACGCAAAACCGAAAGTATATTACCGTTACTGTTGTTTGTTTTTAATTTTAATTTATTTTAATACGCTTGGATATGCGTACGTACAAAGCCACTGGTGTCTAATTGGAAAGCAAGTGTATTTTGTATCAGTGTCCGCATGATATAACGTGCAGTGGATGAGGAGTAGGCGAAAAGAAAAAAGTTTTATCGTTATGTGTAAATTTTCAGCTTGTGGGTAGATAGAGAAATAAATGATAACTGTGGGATAGGATATCTCCTTCAGTTTTGCTTGATGGCGCTATATTAGTTGGCTGATTATAGTTGAATCTATGTAATTGGCTGACTATATTTGTAGTTTATCCAGAAAATAGTTGAATTAAAGATAACTGCACATGCAAACTTTCTGTATGGAATAACGATATGCTTAATAATAAATAAGGTATGCAATTATATTTAGCCTAATGTTCTTTATCGAATGCCTGTGCATTATTATTATTATTATTATTATTAATATCAATATGATGGAATTGTTTAGAAAATGATGATAATAATTTGAATTCCCGGCAAAACATTGCAAATCTAATTATTGTAAAGAAATTAAAAAAGAAAACGCGTAAAAGATATTTTTATTATAAGCTAGCAATCAGCTTCGCACAATTATAGTTTATATACAGAGATCTACCATGTTCTCTTTTTTTTATTACGAGAAGTTTTATAAAGAAAGAAAGTTAAGAAATAGAGTTAATTCAATTCAATTATTCTGGTGTTAAGATCAAATGCATTAAAATTTATTACTTAATTAAATAAAGTTACATTCCTTCAAATGCATACGATTGAGATGCATTTAGCGTTTGTTATAGGGCTGGGCAAAAAATAATGCATATAAAGAGTCATGTATTTAAAAGAGGCGCATTTGAAAGAGTGACTCGAAAAAAATAAAATGCGCAATTCGCTCTTTTAATTTTTTTCCTGCATAACCAAATTAATTCTTTGAATGAAATACATTTATTGCATTGTATCATATCGGACGAGAATTTTATTAACCCCAATAGCCGAGCGAAAGATTACGTTAACGAACATGCTTTTGTTTGTTTTGGTATTGCGTTAATGCGCCAAGCCATTCAAAGGAAAGAAGTTATGGTCTTCTAATATAAAATTCGAACCTTCAAACACTCCGCTCTGTTATCTTTCTTGCTTTCCGATGCAAGAAAAGATCTTCACACGTATTGAGCTTCTCTCAATTGCATTTTGAATTGATTTTTTGGTCAGTGTGATACGTATTGTTGTATGCACATGTACATAGATGTATCTTGATATGTAAATAAATTAGCTGCAGCAAAACTAACAAGGATACTCTATATCGATATCGATATCAAAAAAGGGTGTTGCCTGCAGTTTAAATGATTGTATTTGTTGCTCGCAGAATTTTTTGACACAAAAGAACAAGGAGACACGCGTCTCATTCTAAAAGAACTTACTTCTTATCATCTTCTTCAGGTAAGGAATCTAACTTATTTTTAGATTTATCCTTAATAAATTAGATCCGTATTAGCCTTACATATTTAATTCTCTGTAACTCCATAAAACATAATAAATTCTATAAAATAGGCGATAGAATTTACGATTCTCAATAAAAAAAACTTTTCTTACGTTGAAGAAACCAAATTCAATCCATTATCTATATTCAAATACTCTATTCATAGATTAAACTAGCCTGTTTACCTCTAATAATATTAACGATATCAACGATATGACTTACGAAGGACAAAAAATAGGAAATCCTGGACCACTTGGTATTTATGTTTCTAAACCTTTTGTTTTTCTAAGGTCCATTCTTATAACCCACACTAAATCATCATACTTAATGAAAAAGGTCTCAGTGGTTTCGCGCTTACAACATTCGTCTTATCACTATATAATGTAAACGCTGGAGGTGTGACACATCCAAATGTAGTTGTTGGTCTTGCGCTTTTCTACGGTGGTCTCGTGCAATTATTAGCAGGAATGTGGGAATTCAGAACCGGCAATACTTTTGGCGCTACCGCTTTCTCTTCATATGGTGGCTTCTGGTTATCTTACGCTGTTATTCTTATACCGAGCTTTGGTGTTATCGATTCCTTCGCTCTTGATACTGCATCACATCTGGATAATGCGCTCGGGATCTATCTTCTCGGCTGGACAATTTTCACTTTCCTATTGTTTTTGGCGACTTTCCGCTCAAATGGCGGATTAGTCGCCTTATTCTTTTGTTTAACAGTTACCTTTTTCTTTTTGACTATTTCCAAATTTGCCCAAAATGCAAGTATGGAAAAAATTGGTGGTGTTTTTGGCATAATTACAGCATTCATTGCTTGGTATGTCGCTTTATCAGGTCTATTGACCCCGGACACTGCATACTTTACATTACCATTATATAACTTGGGTAGAAAAGAAAAATAATATGATCTTAATTTAATTTATTGATCAATTTCGCATGCAATTTTTAGTCTTCTAAATGATCTTTTTCTTTGTTTAATCTCGGTAGAAAGATTTTTTATATTTGAACCATTTAATTTATTCGAAGTCTAGCAGGCTAGATTAATATACATGTAGTTGAAAATTAATATAGTTGAAATGAATGATGCAACGAAACATGTGTTTATTACTTAATATAATTTTCTTTTGATTATAACAGAAGAAAAAATCACCGTGTACCGCTATATTCTATAAAAATTTTTGCCCTCTCATTGGTGGATCATTAGATGGTTTAACCATTTATGGGATAATGAGCGAAATTATGTTCTTTTCGAAACAAATGCACATGTGCATGTATACATTATTAACGTAGTTATTATTTATCGTTATTATTATACAAAGAATTGTGTTTAAAAAAATGGAAAAAAATACAATAATTGCTAATTATAGTGCACAATCATACACAATCAGGTAACAAGAACAATTTCAAAAACCGAGACGTGTTATTGGCTATGTTTCGTCTATTTGTTATTCATGAAACCAAAAAAGGTGGATTAGAGTATTGTGATACTTCGAATACATGTAAAGTACATTATATGTATTGGTGTCTTGGTAGAGTTTTCACATTTCTCCCTTAATCCTCTATTCATCATAGAAATAATTTTGAGATACTTCGTAGAATTTTTTTATTGTCGTCCACCTAAAAGGCATCTGATAGAAAAACAACATGAATAAACATCTCATTACATTCTTTCTCTCATATCTTACTGTCTTTTCGGTCATACCTATAATATACGCTAGGCCTAGTGCCAATATAGCGGCTTTTACGCAAACGAAACCCGTACATGCCAGGGTGAAATTCAATCATAAAAAATTGTAAATTATTTGAATCCTCGTTACTCTATCTACTTTAATTCTTATAGATCAATGCTAACACAAAATTTTTTGTTTCTAATACAGAAATGGCTCGTTTGAACTTTTTGACAATCAGTTAGACAGCGGAACACAAGTAACCGGATTCTGGAAAACCTGGAAAAGAAATTCATATGAATACGCATTCTTTTCGTATATACATACGGATTGCTCGTCCGTCGAAGAAGACACGATTTTCGAGACTGACGTGACTGATGCATTCACCGCTCAAAATTCAGATGAGAATGAAGTAAGTCATCGATTCATCAAGCGGACAGATGTATCATGGCTATATGGAAAGCATATTGAGTCGGTTGTCGTTGCGTACGAGACTCGAATATCGGTATGTTATTGTCCATAGAAGTAATGTTTACTTGATTTTTTAAGTTTAGTAATTGATTTTTTTGTCGTTAGAATTCTGGAACAATACGATATCAAAAGATAACGTGTGCGCCTGTGATGCATGAAGAACCGAAATTATATGATTCTGAAGTTTGAACTTACAAGGATTGAATAGTGTTGCTGATGAACCAACAAGCAAGGATAAATAAATGCTGGCCATTTTTTTCAAATAAACATTGCGTGATCATATTCACAAGTTACATAAGAAAATATTTATTTTCACATCAACGAGAGGAGCTCTAATAGACCTTCTATATAGGATTTAATGGGTGGTGATGGTATGAATTAATTTATATAAACAAAATTTTCATTAACTCAATTGTAAATTAATATAGAACAATCCCACGCAGTTACTTTTTAGATGTTTATCATTGGTGACTTCAAAGTTACAGGCTACGCTAATCAATAGTAAAAAAAAGAAAAGAACACGGTATCGTATCGGTATGGATTCTCTAGGGTATAAATTAATTTGATGTAAATAAATTAGTTATGAATAACATTTCTTTGCCATAAAAGTCTTGACGTGAAGACATGAAGAGTGGCTGGAACGAAACTTGTTAAATTTATTGACAGCAACCCACAATAACAATTAGAAGATTTCGTAATGCAAGCTAACCAATAAAGGCACATTGCCCATTGTTGTATACATTTCATTTCAAGACCCTGCTTAAAGAGTTATTATAGTAAGGCTTTAGAAAAAAGAGCATTCTCTAGAACAATAATAATTATGAGATTACATGTATTTGTTTGTATGCAACTGTTCGTTTTTTTTTGTTTGCTTACATTACTATCGCCATCGTTGACCCTTGCCAAATTTTTGTCTTTTTAAGCAGACACGCATGCAAAGTACAAGCTAAAAAAATCGAAATCAACAATAGCAGGAAATAACGATAAGAAATAAAAACAAAGTTATAATTTGGGAATGTTCTTTTTTGTCTAGTCCGGTGTGTATTTAAAGACACACAAGCGATTCATTCGAAAGTTATTACGTGAATACGAAATTTTCCTTTTTTAGTATGGTATGGGATTAATTTTTGCGATTCGCTTGTGCCTCAAATTATTTATTCCCTGGTATTAAGCAAGGGGGAGACTGTCACCAAGCCTTGTTAGCTAAGCCTGAACCTTCATAAAATTTGTGTGAATATTCCGCATATCGTATTCGTCCTTTATTGGCATCATTTTTTATTTGTTGTGAATCGAGATCCTTGTCACACACAAACGAGAAAATAAAATAATTAAACACGCGAAAGGCTGTGTAACATCCTAGTAATGCAACTGTTTTCTCGTGTACTACGATACTAAAAAAATGATGCACAGCCAAAAATTTTATTAGTGTGGCGAGGGAAAATTGCACAGCAGCAAAAAAATTGTTTACGATTTTATGTTTATAGAAGGAAAGACTTTGCCACTTGAATTGAATGCTTCCCCAAATTGAACTTTATTTAATTCTCAAGTTGATAAGACTGGAAATTTCGTAAATTGCTATTGCTATTTTAGAAGCAAGCTTAGAAAAAGCCCTTAAACAAACTTCATTTCAACCACTATTTCGATTTCAATCATTTTTATATAATACTTCCACCGTCGTCATCACGTCCTACCCTCCCTCCCCTATCCGCCATCACCCAACTGACGACATTCACTTAACATTTCATATATTTCACATTCATATTCCAAATATTTTACACTCGTTTTATAATAATTAAATTGAATTTGAACTTGGGGTTAAATAAGAATATATTACAATTACAATAACAATAGTAATAATATAATTTATAATACTAATATAATTTATAATAGTATTAATATTTAGAATAATAATTTATATTAATATAATCTATAATAAATAATAAACATAATAATAAATATTATTATAATAATAATAAATAATTATTAATAATATTATTTATTATAATAATATTTATAATAATAATTATAATAATAATAATAATAATAATAATAATAATAATAATAATAATAATAAATAATAATAATAATAATAATAATAATAA